CACACACGAGCACTTGAATAGTCATTCCTATCATGTTCTTACTGAATCCCCTTCTTCAGAGTTAGGAGAATGGTCAACACATCATTGTCTTTTTCTTTGTCCAGAATAAGTTCCCCTGATTTTTTGTTCCAAGTTTCGGTTTTCACATTTGATCCGTTTTTTCTCCCTCGCAATCTTCTTCTGGTGTTGTCATTTTAGTCCTTGGGAGATCCAAGCGGATTGGTTCGGCTTATTCATTTGATGTGAGGTTTTGGGACCATCTCCTACTAGCGATGCTTAAGAATCTTCTTTTGCACTGCCAGAGGGTGAGCGGAGTGGTCTTCATCGCCGAGCTCGTCTATAAGCAGTCATTCTCGCCTTCAACCTCCACTGTGAAGGCCCACTATGTTGTTTTCTGGGAGAGGTTGCATTGTTTCAAGCTGGTCGGTGTTGATTATTGCTTTGGTTGGAGGTTGGAGTTCCCCCTCTGGCCGGCGACGATGGTGCATGTCAGGCACGTGTGCAGCGGTTTCGGCTAAGTGGCATCCCCTCGAGCCGTTTATTTACGCGTGGCAACTCCTTTAGGCGGTTTTAGACACATGTCATTTAAAGGCGGTTTTTTTCCTTTTATTATTATATATTATATATGTCATCTTGTATATGAATATCTATGGGATATAATCTTCCGTGGGCTATTTTAGCCCCACCGGATGTGAACGGAAGCAGGGTTTTATTAGTTTGGCAAAAAAAAAAGGAAGGTTGCATATACAGCGGCAAAGGGAGCGTCGTGTCATCGCAAAGTGGTCGTTTTGAGTTTGACAACTCGATTGAGGAAATAGAGACGAACATAGACAAGATTACAAGTGTTGGCACACGTCCGATCCGATGGCATTGAAACCCAATTTCCATTCTCAAGGAACGGGAACAAACTGTGCCTGCCAGACCAGACCACATTCCAGTGCAAGGATATCTTGAGAGATTCCAGAGACTAGAGCTCCACTGCCGCATTCCACACAACGTCTCTCGGAGTAAACGATGACACGACAGAACTAAAGCCGTGGTATATCGGCGCCCTCCCTTTTCCTCGAAAGTCTATCAGATATGTGACCGATCCTCCCTCCTACGACCGGACGTGGAAGCGGCATTTAGCAATCATGCGTCCTTTTCCCATCAGCCATATCAATTTCTCCAGATGGAATTGAGCTAGAGCTAGAATTCCTGCGCGAGGCCGAGGAAACGAACGCGTTCGGGTTCAGACGGTCGGTCGGTCGGCCACCGATCGGTCGCCGGCGCGTCGTTGAGATGTCTGCCATCCGGTTCGCATGAGCGAGACTGGAAAGAGAGTTTGAACAGCCAAACTTAACGAACGCGTCTTCCACGCACGCACCCCCCGTTTCTCGTCGCCGTGCCGTGCCCCCGCCATCCACCGCTGCCATCCCACGCGCTTCCCCCGCCTATGAGTACACCGGGCCACCCGCCCGGCCGCTTGTCACACTCGCGCTCCACAGGACACTCCCTCGGCCTCCTCCTCCGCAGCTCTTTCACACCACCCCATCCCACGGTCGACCGAGGTGCGTGCAGAGGCATGAGGGGCTCGCGGTGGTGCTGCTGCTGCTTCGGCCGGGGCGGCGGCGGCGGGGCCGGGCGGTCGGGGAGCGTGGGCGACGACGGGCTGGTGTGGGACGTGGGCCTCAAGGCGCACGCCTCCGGCGAGTACTCCGTCGCCGTGGCCCAGGCCAACGAGGCGCTCGAGGACCAGGCGCAGGTGCTCGTCTCCCCCGCCGCCACGCTCGTCGGCGTCTACGACGGCCACGGCGGCCCCGACGCCGCCCGCTTCGTCAACGCGCGCCTCTTCTCCCTCATCCAAGGTTCGCCTGCCTCCTACACTCGTTCAACGCGCGCGCGTGTTCGTCATGCACGACTTGTTTGTTGACTCGTGGGTTCGAAATTGGTTGCAGAGTTCGCGTCCCAGAGCGGGGGCATCTCGGCGCAGGTGATCAAGAGGGCCTTCGGCGCCACGGAGGAGGAGTTCATGGGCATGGTGGAGAGGTCGTGGCCGTCGCAGCCGCGGCTCCTGTCCGTCGGCTCCTGCTGCCTGGTGGGCGCCATCGAGGGCGGCACGCTCCACGTCGCCAACCTCGGCGACTCGCGCGCCGTGCTGGGCCGCCTCGCCAGCGCGGGCGGGAAGAAGCGGAGGGCGGTGGTGGCGGAGCGGCTGTCGCGGGACCACAACGTGGCCGACGAGGAGGTGCGGCGGGAGGTGGCGGAGGCACACCCGGACGACCCGCACATCGTGATGAGCAGCCACGGCGTGTGGCGGATCAAGGGGATCATCCAGGTGTCCCGCTCCATCGGGGACGCCTACCTGAAGCGGCCCGACCTGTGCAGCCCGGCGGTGATGCAGTCGCTCTGCCCGTTCCCGCTGCGCCGCCCGGTGATGAGCGCCGTGCCGTCGGTCACGTCCCGCAGGCTGCGCCCGGGCGACCAGTTCATCATCTTCGCGTCCGACGGGCTGTGGGAGCAGCTTAGCGACGAGGCCGCCGTGGGCATCGTGTCACGCAGCCCGAGGAAGGGCGTGGCGATGCGGCTGGTGCGCGCCGCGCAGCTGGAGGCGGCCAGGAAGAAGGACATCAAGTACGAGAGCATCGCGGCCATCGAGAAGGGCCGGAGAAGGCGCTTCCACGACGACATCACCGTCGTCGTGCTCTTCCTCGACACGCCGCAGCCGACAGCCGGCGCCGGCGGGATCGACGGCACGCGCGCGCCCGTCGACGTGTTCTCGCTCGGCCCCGACGACCACGGGGACGACCCGACCAGGCCCGTGCTGCGCTGAATCAGCCCGCCAGCCGGTCAGTCGGTCAGCGACGTGGATGCTCACCGAACGTGGCACCGTAAACGTGCTAGCGGCGTTAATTTTCGGCGACTTTTGCTCTCTGGAACGGAAGATACGGGAGCATGCGTTCTTTGCTTTCCGCGTCGAATTAAGAGGAGGATTATTTATGTTTAATTAGTTGTGTAGATAAGTAGTGCCGTGTCGTGTTGGTGTGAAGAGAATTTAAGTGGTACTCTGTGCTTGAGCTTCTTCTGTGATCAATTCAGAGGTTGCTTTGCCCCCTCCAATTTCCTGTCTGTTCTGTTCTGCCTATTTCCGTGTTTTATTTTACTCAAAATAATAATGGTCTTGTTTTTAGGGAAAACTTAGCTGGCGAACGTTAGCCACGGACGTTTTGCCAGCGAACCCTCCCTAAACCGCACGATCTCCATCCGATGGATGGCAGTTTCATAAAAGAAACATGAAAGGAAGGAACTGCCATGACAGTTTCTAATAACCGCCACCCTGCTATCCCCTTAAACGCATTAAAAACCGCCGTCTCCCCCATTCTTGGGGACGGACCCTAGTTACACTCGTCCTGTTTTTAAGGCAAGAGCGGGAAAGTAGTTGTCAACGGACGAAGGGATATAGTGTAAAGAAACAAATATGCTATTTACTAGGCGCCTGAAAATTTTCCAAGCGCCGAACGAGTTAGAATGAGTAGGTTTGAGCTAGAGACGGTGAGGCCGTGGCATCGACGGCGGAGGACGGGAAGGAGGTTCTTGCCGTGGGTGCGGTGTGACGGCTGGTCGATGACGCTATAGGAGGACGGGGCTTAGAGAGATGATCGGGGCAGCGCTAAACCGGTAGAGAACAACGTGTGGAGGCGTGCGTGAGAGAGAGGGGGGCGGCGGTTCGGCCAGCGGTACATGGAGTAGGGGGTGTTGGGAGGATAAATACAAATGAAGAAAATGAATCCAACGGTTAGAAAAAACAACTGCCATTGATTATTATTTTTATCGGACGCCTGATAAATATTGGGCCCTGTAAACAAAACACGCGAGCGCTTCCTTGCTGGTGAGCAGCCGGCGGCGAACTCCTTTGGGGAGAGCAGTGCATGAGCGCACCATTTCATCAGCGGTCGTGGTCTTTGCGGACGGTTTGCCGGAGAACGCGAGAGAGGGGCTCCCGCTGCCGCAGCTATCGTGGATCAGTTCAAACGAGGACGACACTCGTGACTTCCTCCGGTCAAAAGGGGTGGCATCTTCCAAATGGCATTATGTCCAGGCGACTTGATGGGAGGTGTGTTGCAAGCAAGTAGACAAAAAAGGTTAATTGCTTTCGTTGAAGATACGCTGGCAGTGGACTGGGATGGGGAGAGTCCTTCCGTGATAACGAGGCCGTTGAACAAGACAGGGAATTTCAAGTACCGTTGTGGCTCTTATTAACGAAGAACCTGTGCTGAAAGATTCAGGTGCCAGTGCACTGAGGTTCATATTCAGTTCCGAGTGCAAGATGAACCGGATTCTTCTGAACATGGGTGAAGTATTGTAATCTGAAACAGAAGCGATGTATATTTTCGACACTTTAAAACTCATGTTCTCGTGGTTTTCACTGGTTTTTATCGAATATTGGTTTTCGTATATGATATTTTTTCGAAAGAGAAACGATGTATTTCTTCTGTCTATACGCAAGTAAAGCGTACATCGTACGTGGAACTGTAGCTTTGACCTGCTGACCGAGTCAGAGTCACGAGTCAAGGCTAGGCTGCACCCCGTTCTGTTTTGCCTGAAAGCCAAACGTAGCACAGTACACGTTACCACCGGTGTCGGCGTGTCGCCGTCCATCGTTTCCAGGTGTCGCGCGTCTCTTCTGCTGCTGGCATTTCTTTTTCTTTCGGATTAGTCTTCCTATTCATTGTAGCATTACGTACGATCGATCGATCGGCCCGATGTTGACCACGGGACGACTGGACGAAAATATGTGGGGTGCGCTAGCCTGTCGCGTCCCTGTGACCACACTAGGAGCATCAGCCGGACACCCTAAACCCCCTCTTAAACGTCCCGATGGATGGTCCGATCACTTAAGGTATCTTCAAAGCTGATTGGAAAATGTTTTTGATATATGTTCGTTTTTATATTCATATGTGGTTCACGGATATGGTATGGGAGAAAGCCATACAATGCTAATCACAAAGTATTCGGGAGGGGAAAAAGTGGGTTTATGTATGGGGTGAAATATTTGTGATCTAGTGTCCGGTTGGTAGGAGAAAGTGAAGAGGCAAACCAGTGTTTGGATGCATGCGCTGTTGGGAGGAGAGAAGAAAATGGTCATGCATGTGATTGGTCAAGTTCATGTCCGGATTCCGACAAAGTGTCCTCACGTTTGTCTCTTGGATACCGGAATCCGTACGTCTAGACTGCTAAACAGATATATACAGGGTTCCCGTTAAATGGCAAAAGTGGTTAGGACACTGTAGTCTAGACAAATAGTGGAGATTTCCGCTTTGGAGATGCCCCCACCGGTAAGGGCCTCTTTGATTCGTAGGATTTTGAAAACATAGGAATAGGAAAAGTGTAGGGTTGGAGTGGCATGCCCATTTGAATCCTGTAGAATTAGCGATGATTGTTTGATGCCACGGGAAAAACAAAGGAATTGTAAAAAGAGATCGAGTGGATGTTAAATTTCCTATGAAATTTAGTACAGAAGATTTCATAGGAAAAATTCCTATGGGGTCCAATCCTATGAATCAGAGGACCAACATAGGAAAAAATCCTAAAGATTTCAATCCTTCAGAAATCCTATAAAATTCCTTTGAATCAAAGAAGCCCAAAAAAACGACCAAGATAGGTGTCTCAAACGTTCGAGCGGACCGGCATCCCTCATATCCAGCCCAAATATAAGGCATATGGGGATACCCGTGCGTGCTCGGGCGCATCCACCACGTCGGACCCGACAGGCCTATCCCAGCACAAATTGCACCAAATCCACCCCCTCGACTTACTGGATTCATTTGCTCTCTCCTTCCTCCTCGGCACCGACGTCTCGCAGATCCGCCGCCACCCTTGACCCGCAGTTGTTCCGAGCCTAGTGCCTCCAGCACCGGTACAAACAGTCCTCTCTCCCGTGCTCAGCATCGCGGACATTGTTGCCGGCCCGGACGGCAACGCGGTACTTCTGGCAACTATGAGGCTGCCTCTTGCGCTCTATGTATTCGACACAATGTCCGACCCGATTTTTCGTGATTTATTTGTAGGGAATTTCAATGCTTGGTCGGACAAAGAGCATGAACCGACGGAGCTTGATAAAATGATTGAAACCGAGTTCTCTGATTCGTCAGATTCAAACGAAGAAGTGGACATGATTATGCTTATGAACATGCAAGAGGAAGTGGACCAGCAGGTGGAGCATACTCTCAATTTTAAAGACTCAATCAAAGGAAGAAGAGTGCATGAATTTAAGACCCCAAATTTGAAATATGTGGATGCCAGGCACGAGATATGAGGAGCCTTTCCGCTGCGTCCGCGGGCATTGTCCGGACACGTCCCTGGTCATATAGGAGGCCGGATTTGCCAGATGCTCTATCATTGCACCGGCCGGTGGTCAAGTCGTTTTGTCGTTGCTGAAAATCTACATCTGACGTACTAGGTCGATCTATCTCTATCTATCTGCTATAGCCTAGTAAGCAGCCGGTCTTTTCTCGGAAACCATGCGGACTCCGTCGTCGTTGGTGGCCGAGGACGAGTACTTTCTTTTTTTGAACGAAGGCTCAAGAATAGCACTGCACTCCATGCATGGTCTGCGCATAGAACACTGCACGATGAGGACAATGGTGTCACAGTGCGTTCTTGTTTGTTTGAGTTGTCTGTCACTGTGTCATATCTGTATTTTGTCTACAGAAGAAGATGTGTGTAGCGCGAACATCGTGGTAACGCACCGCGCAACTATTCGGAACCTGTTTCGAACTATATATGCGCGTTCAACCTACCGACCCGACCTCACTCTGTGATGGATCGCGCAGGTGCATCCTCGTCGCTTCAGCCAAAGAAAAAGAGGTTGAAAAACGTTGGACAGTGATTCATGAATTTTCAAACGTGTGAATATATTTAAATTTGTGAATAATTTACAAATTAGTGATTTAAAAAGCTTAAATTTTTTTATTTCGTTGACATTTTTCACATTTTTGAACATTTGTAGAATTCATGAACAATGTTTGGATTCCTGCACATTTTTAACATTTGTGAACTTTTTTGAAATTCGTGAACTTAAAAAAAACAATTGTGAACTTTCTCAAATTCATGATTTTTTTGTAATCCATGAATATTTTTAGAAAATTCACAAACAACTTTCAAATTCACAAAATAAAGATTCATACACCTTTTTAAATATATAAAAAATGAATCAATTTTTTCTCTGCTCGTGGAGTTTTTCGTTCCAACACAAGCTGACCGAACATAGTCATGCGAGTGAGCGATAGCGAGCGACCCATTTGAGTGTGCATGTGAGAGGGGAGCTCCGAACAGGGTGCTGGCGCCCATGCCGATGGAAATTTGGGCCGGCCCATTATACACAAGGGCTTCGCTCGGTCGCTGGATTTTTTTGTCAGATCGCTGGATGAAAAAAATGTGGTTGGCTGACCTTCGACCATGACCATGCACCACTGACCAAGTTGTTGTCTGTTGACTTTTACCTAAAAGCTCACCAAAATTCGTAAAATAAATCAAAATTCGAGTTTGAAAAGATTTTATCAAATTTGAAAAAAATCATCGATTTTTTGAAAAGTTCGCATTCAAAAAAACAAAGAATTTGAAAATTAGTTCATCAAATTTAGAAAAAAGTTCGTCATATCTGAAAAAAATTCATCAAAAATGAAAAAAAATCATAAATTTAAAAACATTGATTTAAAAAAAATCAAAAATTTAATAAAATAAAAAAGAAACAGGAAACAAAAAAAGAAAAAAAGAGGAAAACATAGGGGGGCATTTCCTGTATTTTGAAAAAAAAAAGAAGCATATATACAT